AAAAGACTTGCTCTAAAGTACCACCCCGACAAGACAGGTGCGGATGATGGTTACCTCGAGTTCCAGAAGGTACAGTGCAATCACAACGCTCTGTTCCTTTCACATGTTCCTCTCATATATCACCCTACCCTTCAGTTACTTGACTCAATTTACGCTGACCGGATCATGTATTTGAAGATTCAACAAGCCGTCGAAATCCTCCGCGATAGTAGCCGTCGGGGAAAGCACGACGCAGAACTGCGGAGCAGACGTAGTCTTAGAGAAGAGGCCATCAGCCTCTCTAAACAGGACACTTCCTCTTCTTGGGGATGGGCGGCTTCGAGTCCTGATTTGTCTGCCCTACGGAGTATGAGCGGACGGTATATGTTTAGTTATGCAAATAGCGTCCATATGGATCCTTATTCTCCGGAATCGCAGGAGGAGATCAGGCGATGTGAAAGGGAGCGCGAGTATGGAGAGCAACTGAGGCGGGAGTGCGAGCAGTGGGAGGCGTATGAAGGGGACCCGGATATTTCGAGTTATACTTGGACATATGATCCGGAGACTGAGGAAATGATGAGACAGGATAGAACGAGGGAGGCTATGCGTGCCAATGTAATGCGTGATGAGGACCAGACGGAGAGAGGCGTGGTGTTTGATGAAGAAGACAAACAGGAGGGTTACGCTGAGGAGGGCAGTATGGCTGGCACCAACGCACGTTCTGAGTCTGAGGAAGAAGTTTGTAACGAAGAAAATGAACAGTGTGAGGAAGGTGAAGAGTACGAAGGCGAGGGAGAATACGAGGGATACGAGGGTGGAGAGGAGTATGAAGAGCAGGAAGAAGACGAAGGGTATGAAGAATACTATGAAGATGGGGGATATTCAGGAAAAAAAGGTTACGAAAAATGTGGTGGACGCGATGGATATGGAGGAAACGACCAAGAGGGAGAGAAGGAAGAGGACGGTCCCACCTTCTCAATTACCTCGACGCAACAAACCCAGGCCGAATACGAAAGCGCACGACAGGCCCCTTTCTCTGACGGTGAAGATCTGCTTGACATGGCGAGCATTGGAGAACCAGTTGACCAGGTGGATGAAACAGGGGTTATCTCTGGAGAGGAGTCAGATTCAGAGAAAAATGAAACTTTTCATAGTTTTAGCGACGAAGGAGAAGTCTGCTCTAATGGCGACAACGCGACCTCACAAGCCATGCCCACCAATGGATCCTCACCAAGCTCACGTTCACTCTTCGATCCTTTAATCCCACACTTCAGGGAGAAACTAAATCATCCTAGCGGTCGATATACGGAAGAAGATGTTCACACCGAGCTCAGAGGTCTTGTGATGGAGTCCTTCTGCGGCTGGCTAGAGACTCTCCGGCTAGAGTTTCCCGGAGCAGAGCCTGCAGCAACTGTCCGGGTGAACCCAGAGCATTGTCGTCATCTGGGTTATTGGAACAAGGAATTTGGATCATCGGAATGTGAAATGTGCCACCGGTGGATGCCCATCTACATTCTTTGCTGCCCGGGGTGTGGGATCAGGGCGTGTGTTGGCTGTAAGTTTCACTACGAGGAGTGACTTCTGCCCCCTATCTTCTTATTACAAGGTGCGTGAGCTCCCCCAGTTGAGGTATGATCGATGATGCATATCAATACCGTTGTATTCGGTTCTTATTATGAAGGAAAATATGACTTGCGCCATATTAAATTGCAGATATTTGACTCTTCATTGAGTATGGATATACACTACACTCCAAATCAAGATTAGCCAAGATTATCTCCCCAAGAAGAATATAGTTCCTCGGTGCTTTAGCAGAATCTAGTATGATAAATGCCTTCATGTAGACAGTATTTAATTTACTATGCAGTACCTTCAGACTTTCTCTTGAACAAGAATGTCTGTTGCAGATGCGTTAGTCAAACCTCGGAGGATTTACATGGAATCTTACAGCATCTGATGCTTGCTAAGTTTTGAATAGATACTAAGAAGGCATTCTGTTATTATTGAAGAGCATCAAATTGTTAATCATATACAAGCAATCAAAGTGTCAACTATCTACAATACGAGATTGACATAGCTGAATAGATACTTCACTTAAACCTCCACCGCTTCAAATACATCTCCAGATTCCTTGCATTGCCATCCCTGAGCTTCGCCAGCATCTTCAGCGTCTTTTTCTCCAAGAACTGATCCATAAACTAAGAGGCTTGACATAAATCCTGTGAGAACCACGATATGTCCGCAACATCGCCTGCGTTAGGGATAGTAGAGGGCTTGGCCTCGAAGCGGCATCCCATGCTCGTGCCAATTTTCATTTAGCATCAATTCTTTTGTGGTGACGCTCTGGAAATCCATCCAGCATATATTCACGAAGAGGACCCAGAGGTTCTACACTTCCGGGAAGGAGGCCATCTAGGTCTCAAAATGAGAAGAGGAACTCAGGAACGGGGCTCCTATGTGTGCGAAGTCAAAGTCCAAGACGGTAGTGAGACGGTGGTTTGCGCGGTTAAAAAGTAGATCCGGCAGAACTAGTTAGATGTCAGATATTTGCATTTTATGTTACTTCCAGTAGGTCATGGGTCGTACACAAGGGACCAAAGCACACATATAGTCAAAGTCTGGATTCAGCACCAAGCCAAATGCCAATCCGGGCTATCCATGCTCTATGATTCCTCCCACTGTACAAAGATTGCACCTGGTGTAATGCAGGGGCCCAGTGTGGTGTATGAGCTGAAGGCAACCACCGAATTCTTTGTTCATCGTTCAGGAAGCTGTGGTAGTCCTCGGCCTACATGGTATTGTCATCTTCTAAACTTTCCATTTGGCCCGCGACGTTATCTCCAGAAACATGTATCTTTGCTCACTTCTTTCAGCTGATATGGTGCAGGAAGGAAATGTTCAAAAATATGGTATCCCCCCAGATAGTGAGCCAGTCCTACATAATGGTCACAGTAGGAGGTATATTCTTTCCTTAGAGACCATGAGGCATTCTTGCTTTAACAAATATATACTTAAAGACTCACCGTTGAACTGCTAGTGCTTTTCCTTCTCTATTTTCATGATAGATGTTCGGTAGTAGACTGGGTACTTGAACCCCCAACGATAATCATTCGACTCGATGTCTACAACAGATACGTAACATGGTCACCCGTTTCAAATATAGACTTTTTCCTATTTTTTATTTCTTTCTTTCTTACTTATCAAATCTATAGATGACAAGTTCGCGGTTTGCATTCTCACCAACCAAGTGCCTTTCATTTCCGCAAATCCTTCCTTTCCCTATGAGCTCGAAAACCTCCTCATGCTTCAATGTTTTACTTGACGATGGAGTTCGGATGCTCAGAAACATTTTCAAATCAAACGGCCACGTGGTAGGTGACAAATGGAGGCAGAATCTAACCTTGGCCTTCTCATCATATGCCTCAGAGACGACAGCATACCATGGCTCATCGCAGATGGCAAAGGTAAGAGGTTTTGTTTGTAGACTATTGTTTCCACGGTAGGGAGGAAGCACTTGAGCGTCGAACCGCCTCCAGCAAGGCCCCTCGCCGGAGATTGGAATGCTAGTAATTTGCACCTGTGATGTCCAATCGGTCGGCGCAACCAGGCGATCGACTGGCCCTGTACACAAGTTTTCGACGATATCTATAGATTGGCTGTCCTCACTAATGTTTAAGCATTGCACGCCCGGGAACCCCCGCTGCCTGACAGAGTAGAACCCTAGTTCCCTGAAACCAAAACGCGTAATAATAGACGGACCATTGTCTTGGCCAGCTTCTCGCAGACGTCCGGTTGGGTCCAAGGAAGGCCGATAGTCTGATGGTTTTGAGATATCCCAGATAGATAGCGACTCGATCGGAGCATCGTCATCTGCAGTGTACAAACTGCGATTGGGCTGCCAAATATAGATGGCATAATGAGTCTCGCTGTGAGTGGAATAGAAGCGATCCCTCTCACTGAGTGGGTGACCAAGAAACATGATCTTCCACTCATTTCGAAACTTGATGTTCCATCCACTAGCAGCCTCTGTCACGTCAAATGATGAAGCAAAGTGGCGATGCACTCCGTCACTGTCATTTAACCAATGGAAGGCCTTGGGTTCCGCCCACTCCACAACAAGAACTCTTTTCTGTAGTCGAGTTCTGCGAATCACTTTGCCTGTGATAATGAAAGGAACCATAAATTTCCTGTCACTGTCTAGGTCCAAGAGCACAAGGCATGAGTGATCTGCGCTCGGATAAACTATCAGACCATCCTCATACGACCAAAACGACTCTGGGAACGGGCAATCAACGCGCTGCATGAGGTGACTAGCATGATTATCCCATGGTTGCACGTGGAACCATTCTCTTTCCCCAGATATGCCGAAGTCATCACAAAGTTTGTGCTTCTGGATAGATTTGGGTTTCCCTTGGCTAAGATGATCATACCTAGAGGCAAGCTGATCGAAGAGCCTACACCAATAGATATCGTCTTCTGTAGTCTCCAGCATGCATTCAAGATCTTTACCATGAAGCTCCCTAACCTCTTTCGCCAAAGGAAAGAACGTCCTAACGAGTGGGATAAGATTTGCGGGGTTTCCGAAGCTCTGACTCCAAGATTGGGAAACACGGCGGCAACGGACGATGTCTCTAGGACTGAGATAGTTCAAGATCATCCAGAAAATCTCTCGTGGCAACATGGACATTCCCAGAGCCTCACGGCCCTGAGTAGTTGCTGTTGTGTCAACCATGCCCACTGCCATTGTGAACGTGGGGGTGGTCTATATAGCTTCTTTTCACGAACGCAGAAGAGAGTTAGTAAGCATTGATAAAATTAAATTTCATTTTCAAAGTATAGGCGAAGCGGTCCTAAGCAACTTCTCAAGTTCCCATGAAAGGCGAAGGGTTTCTGAGAGGGCATGGGGGTTGACTGACTGCACCCCCACGTCACACTTTTGTATTAAATCATTAAGTAACTGTATTTATGGGGCGGAGCGGAAGCTTCCCCCGTCACATGCCAAGAGCGCGTCTTTAGGACACATTGCTTCATTGCTTCTTCTTTCAACGTCTGACTAACCATAAATACTGTTTCCTCTCTTACTGGGGTGTTTTTCACCTATTGCTTACTATAAACACCAGTCATAGTATATCCTTCAATCAAACAAAAACAAAAAAAAAAAAAAAAGTTAATCCCAAAGGAAGGCTCTCGCTTTTAAATTCAAGATGTGGCAGCCAAGCTCTGCACTACTTCTTGTCGCGTCACTTCTTACAGCCCTCCCAGTCAACGCTGATGGGTTGTACACTAAAAAGTCGCCTGTGCTGCAGGTGGATCAAAAGTCTTATGATCGGCTGATTGCCAAGTCCAATCATGCATCGGTAAGGTGAACTGTTACTGACTATCAATGCTAACAATAGTGTTAACCATCTTACAGATCGTAGAGTAAGCGCCCTATTCTCCCTCCTACCATTATCGCCAATTCCTAATATGTGTCCCTTTACACCAGATTCTACGCTCCCTGGTGTGGCCACTGCCAGAACCTGAAGCCTGCCTACGAGAAAGCAGCCAAGAACTTGAACGGTTTGGCCAACGTTGCCGCCGTCAACTGTGATGATGACGAAAATAAACCCCTGTGTGGCCGGTTGGGTATACAGGGCTTCCCGACCCTCAAGATCGTGACACCTTCCAAGAAACCTGGCGCACCAAGGGTGGAAGATTACCAGGGCCAGAGGACCGCCAAAGCTATAGTGGATGCGGTAGTGGACCGCATCCCAAACCATGTGAAGAGGGTTACGGACAAGGATCTGGACAAGTGGCTCTCTGAAAACGAAGAATCCCCGAAGGCTATTCTTTTCACCGAGAAAGGCACCACGAGCGCTCTCATCCGAGCCCTTGCGATTGACTTCCTTGGATCAATCAAGGTTGCCCAAATTCGTAGCAAGGAGTCCGATGCTGTAGAGAGATTTGGTATTGAGGAATTCCCCAAACTCGTCCTCCTCCCCGGAGGCGAGCAGGAACATATTGCGTATGATGGCGAGCTCAAAAAGAAGCCAATGGTGGAGTTCCTCAGCCAAGTCGCGGCCCCCAACGCTGCTCCCTCTGCCACAAGTTCCAAGTCCAAGTCCTCAAAGCCATCTAAGTCATCGTCCGCACGTTCTAAATCTACAACGGTTCTAGATGATGAAGCAGAGAACTTGAAGCCAACTGAGTCTCCTGACCCCAAAGTTGTCCCCGACAATGCGCAGGAATCGAAGCCCGCACAAGTTCCCATCCAGGCACCCCCTATTGCTTCCCTTCCTACTGTGGAAGCGCTGGAGTCTGCCTGTCTAACACCCAAATCCGGCACTTGTATTTTGGCTCTTCTTCCAGAATCCACCGAAGCTGACGCCGACATTCCCAGCTCCGCGAAGGAGGCCGTTGTCAGTTTATCTGAGATTGTACATAAGCATGCGGTGCGCCAGGCCCACCTCTTCCCGTTCTACAGTGTCCCAGCTATTAACAGCGGGGCCGCAACTCTGCGGGCTGGGCTCGGTCTTTCTGAGGATAGCAAGTCAGTGGAGATCATCGCGTTGAACGGACGCAGAGGCTGGTGGCGGAGGTACGACCCATCGGAAAAAGCGGACTACAGTCTGGCCCGTCTTGAGTCCTGGGTTGACGCTATTCGTTTGGGCGAAGGTTCTAAGAGCAAGCTCCCAGAAGGGGTCGTCGTCACCGAGGCCGAGGCTGAGGTCGAGACTGAGAAACAAACCGCTGATCATGACGAGTTGTAAGTCGAAACTGTTAGCACCTGGATCTGGGCTGTAGCTATAGTTGGTGGACGTCTACACCCCTTCTTTAGCGGAGGTCCAACTATTTCAAGTAGCTTGGAGCGGAGGCGTTACGGTTAGTCAATGAATAGGATGTAGTTTTACAACGGAGGTAGTTAAATTTCAATGAACTTTTTAAATATAGAAATCGGTCACGTATATACAAGAGGGTAGGTCACGCAAATCAGTTTTGTTCTAGACAGAATCCCCAAACTGCCAGATAAACACCAACTTTGTTTTGTGAAAAACCCAAAAGAAAAAGTATGCTTCTATGGCGCATATGCCAGGCTCCTAAATCAACAGTCGCAGATCATTAGTGCTTCTTCTTGCCTTCCGTTCCTTTCTTAATGATCTTCTGTCTTTTCGAATCAATCTCCTGGTCGTAAATTTCACGAGCCGACTCTCCCTTCTTCCGCTTGCTGGGCTTCGACGACTTAATGCTGACCGTCGAGGCGCCTCCACCCCGGATCTGCTTCTCAGCGTCCTCCCACGCAGCACTACCGTTGTTGATCTCGTATCTGAAGGCTATAAATCAGTTATTGCTCATTCAATAGGCTACTGGGAATATTTGTAAATGGAAACCACTCACTTGTCGAGAGGAAGAGCATCGATCAAGGCCCGCTGCTTCTCGCGTAATTCTGCGTCCACTTGCTGTCCTCCCTCGCGGAGCTCCTCATCCAGGCCAGTCTCCAGGGGCTTGAAGCGCTCATCGGCGACCACGTCGTCGTGTGCATCGGTAGAAGCCTGGGTCACGGGAACTTGCTCGGAAGGCATAGTCTCTGCGACGGCGCCCTCGATGACAGAGCGGAAGTGGGTAGACATCTTACGGATGATCTTGAGGAACATGGCTAGGAGCTGAGATGAGGGCAGGCTCAATTCCTTCTCAAGGTCGTCCATGCTCTTGTGTTGCAGGCCGACGGCCAGGAGGATGGACTGTTGCACGCCGGAGAGGCTGACTTTGCCGTTAAGACGGCCGGAGAAGTAGTACTCTGCGATGGTGGGGACCATGTCGAGGATGACGTGGTAGTCGAGGAGATTGTTGGCGTAACTGTCGATACGCTTGAGATCGAAGGGGGAGAAGGCGGCGTCGAGGTCGGACTTCTTGAGGAGAGCCGAGATGATAGAGGGGTCTAGTTTGGCACCTGCGTTGGCGGACTCACAAATGCTGAGGGAAAGCACGGAGGGGAACTCGCGGAATTGGTACGATAGTAGGGCAAGGAAACGCTTGTGGAAGTCCCGTGCGAAAGCACCCAGCCAGCTGGAATCATTTGGTCCGGAGGAGAGAGTGCGCAGCATTACGCATGAATGCTCGCCCGTTAGATCATTAGGTGTTTGGCGGAGGTAAACGGGGGCAAAAGCAGAACGCTTCCAGAACTTGTGGAGGGATGGTGTCAGGCCGTAGCTGACACCAAGGTAGTCAAGAGCGTCTGGGCGGCGTTCGGACAATTTTCCGAAAAGGGGTGGCATGGAGCGAATGTCACGAACATGGATGTTGTCATCCAGAAGGTTGGAGTTCGTGAGCTCCTCGTCCGTTACTCTGACCATTTCTTCCTGTGTCTCGTTGATGTCTTCAGAAAGGCTAGTGAACTTGCCTTCATAGAAATCAACTAAGAGCTCCAAAGCACGAGAACCATAACCCATGTTCAAATACTCTGGGTTGGTTGCGATACGGACAATTCTGGCACCCGAAAGACCAGCAAAGTCCTCGTCCTGATACTGCTGGCTAACAAGCCATGGGATCAAATCACCTCCACCACGTTGGCCACGGCTCAAGCTGTTGAGGACACTCTGTCTACTGATGCGACCTTCCAGCGCAACCTGGACAACACACAGAGGCTCCGGAAGCTTGGTAGCATCCTCGTCAATTGGTGGAACAAGAACATAAAGCTGATGCGCCGGGGCATCACTCATGAGCTGAAGGTCGTTAGGTGTGTTCTTGTAGTGACTAGCAACATAGAGAGCCATCATCTGCTGAAGGAACTTCTCAGAAACAGGGTGGAACGAGAACAGGGTATCACGGTTGACTTGAAGCAGCTGACACTGAGAGGGATGCGGGCAGCCTTGCGTGTTCATCTTGGACTTTGGCAACGTCGCGTCGAGACATAAAACCTTATTCAACCACTTCTCTACAGAATCTCCTGGGGCGTATCTGATGGGTTCGGACAGGGTGATCTCTCTCAGAGACCGTCCACCTAGGCTCTTATCGGTGTTTTTTGCCGCCTTCCCGGTTGCGCGATCAGCGACATCAATGTCCTCTCCGCCACTGGCCTTGAGTCCTCCGCGTGATTGCTCACGAAGTTGTTGAATCAGCTTCAAAGAGAGGGACCTGCCAGTACCTTCATAACCATTGATAGTGGAAGCCATGAAGACAAGGTAAGGACCCATTAATTTGCGGACAAGGGGGAGAGGGATCGCTGCCGCCTCATCAATGACCAGCAGCTCGGCCTGGCCTAGGACATGGGCATCTTGGGGCTGAATGTACTGGATGGTCTGACGGTGCTGCCGATGAATGTTAACCCTGACAATAGCCTTGTTGAAGTCGGGGTTAGTGGATTGAAGAATGGTATAGTCAACATGGTCAAGGTAGCCAAGAGCATCGAATCCCTTGAACACAAATTCGAACAGCGTCTTCAAGTTCTCCGGACTAGGAGACGTGATGAAGATATTGCTATAACCATGCGCAACAGCCGCTGCAATGGCAACACCCAAAGCTGCCGACTTTCCTCGTCCTCTTCCGGCAGTCAGGGCAACCGTACTCCGGAGCGTCTTCTCCGCAATTGCGTCGACAAAAGTCAGGAGTGCTTTCGCCTGATCAACAGTGCGAGCCAAGCTAACCAGCGACCCGACTGGTTGCGAGTCTGCCAAGCTCTCCTTGATTTCCTTCAGCTCCTTCTTTGTGCCAGTATTAGAGGTATCAATGGAGTCTGGTGGTGGCAGTGGTTTGACGTTCTTTCCTCCGGAGATCGGCAAGACATTCAGTTCATCGTCGACAACCAAGCACGAATCGCAACTACCAAGAGAAAGAATGAACCGCTCGTTGAAACGTGCGACCACATCATCATGCGCTTCCGTCCTATATCTTGAGTGAATATCCATCGATAATGTATAGAGTTGCTTCAAACTGCTCATGCCCTTCAGGAGCAATAGCACAATTCCACCACCTTCCACAGTTTCGATTGTTCGGGCGAGCAGGTTCGGTGTGATGGCTTCGAAATCTTGGAGGATACACATTCCATAGGTATTACCCAGGATCTTTTCCGTCTCTTTGTAGTAGACGTAACGAATCTGGTTAAGAGTGATGAATAATTCGAAAGGGTCTTCTTGGTTCGGTTCACGGATACCCCTCTTCACTTCCTTCTTGATCTTTGCCTCACGCTTCTTGCGATGACTGGTAAATCCCAAAAGATCCTTCTTATACGCCCAGAGAACGGACTTGTTCTGTTTGACATCGTGCGACGACATAATGTAGTGCAGGTTGACGATCGCATCTTTTGCGCGGTCACCAACAACGACAAAAAAGCTTCGTTTCTTCTCCTGCAAGTTATTGCGGATAAGCGCAGGAATGCGCGAATCAATCGCCTTACGCGGCATCGTGGTTGGAGCTTCCCCTTGCTATTGTAACTGCCCAAGCAATCAATTCGTAGAAATGGCGAATCCGTTGGAGGTAAAAAACTGAGAGTGGGTACGGAGATATCGTCAAGGTTCCTAGACTGGCCACGAACGCCGCACACAGCCTTGAATTCTTATAAACCGCAGACCAGACCCTTTATAAGTGATATGAAAAGTGATTCCGGCGACTGGGTCTGGAATTGTAAACTGTCGTCCGTGTGTTGCGACCTTTTCTGCTCAGCCAAAGAAAAAAAAGAAAAAGTAAAAAAAAGTTATCAGGCGGAGACCATACTGCCAGATGCCACCGCCTAGCAAAAGTCACCGCCCTCGTGCGATTACATAACCCACGACCTTTCCTCTTCAGGAATAGAGCACTCCCACGTCCAGATTAGGAAAAGGGAGTCAGTGGACCGGACATTAAAGTTGGGTTAATTTAGTTGGACTCCATCAATCGCTGAAGCTTCATCATCTGGATGACGAATATTCGACTATCTCTGCATATAATATGATACCTGAATTCAACGATTTTTCCTTCTTTCACCTGTCAGTTATTGTCCATTAACAGATCCATTTCCAATGGCATGCAATGGAATAGGGAGCCACGGCAGTTTTTGAGAGTCGGGAACCACCTATCATTTCCAATCGACCGTCACCAAAGAAAAGCAACTTTTGGGGCTTCAATTCTGTGATATGATTTGCCCAGCGGGTGCTCAACATCAGCCAAAAATAACTTGGCATGACACGGCACCCAAGGCTAAAAGAGACCTCGTTCAATGATCGTCACTGGCGTGCATTTGATTTTCCTAGTTGGCTCCACGGCGGACAGTCTAAGCTCTCCCATTCCAGCAAAGACGGGCAAATCACCCATGGTCGACCTTGTTTCGTTGACGCAATTCACCCACTGGCTTGATACCGTCGCACCCCTAATATGGAGTAACCTTGGAGGGATCAGGTACAATATCCTCCCCCAAGGGTCTCTGCTTCACAGTTATGACCTTCATAGTACTGTACATACTGTGTACATACTACCCTACCTTACAACTTAAATCGAATCGACCCTTCCCGCCCCTTGACGTCTCCACCCAACAAATTTAAAATTCCCCAGGCAGTTTAAACTAGTCGATAGTCGCTCCATAGCCGCTTCGAGTCCCTGTTCCTCAGTATTCCGTGCGCTTTTTGGTCGGCGCAGCATGATGCAAATTGGCAATTGGTCACTGTAATGGCTTCCTGTGCTAATACACATGATCATATTCTGTCTCAATGAATCTTTTCTCCGCCGAATCGGGGCTCAAAGCCTCTGTAGTGTAAGTGACTCTCCTACTTTGCCCCGTAATAGCTAACCAAGCGCGCAGGGCATTCTTATTGAGCTGTACTTTCCTTGCGACTTCTTACACCACCACTTTCGCTTTTGGTGAGTCAATCCTATGCATTCTCGCGCTAAGGAAGGTATGGTGTGTAATGGAATGTACTGAGCGGCAATTGGGCGTTAAAAAGAACAGCATATACGGAGTATGCAAGTATGCAGCTAACACAACGGAATGAACAGACCATCCACTTGAATCTGCTACCCTAGCCTGTTTCTTAGCAGCTATCTCTCTTTTGATCACGAGCAGATTCGCCGACTCTTTCCCCACAATCTCGTCTCCTGCGCACAAGTATTCCGCCATACCCCTCACGGAGCTTAGCAATTCCGCCGCAGAAGAGCCACCTTCCCCGAGTAACCACAATGGTAACTTTCCCAGTCAGAAAATACTCGGATCGAGTCGGTGGGTTGGAGTTTGTTTAGTTTCGGGCATGGGTTGCATACGGATCGCTCTATATCACCAAATCAATGTCAACGGTGAATGCGCACCAGTGGGATATGCTGTAAGTGTACCTACGAAAAACTGGACACAGAACACACATGCCGATAATAAGCAACCAATTTCTAGTGCATGATCCCATTCCTCATTGCGTTATATGATTACTGGCGCAACCAGCGTGGCCGACCAAATCAGAAATGGATTGCGCCGGAAGGCCCTTCAAATGCGCATCTGCGCATGTTCGTTGCTGTAGCCAGCCGCGCGCATTTCTATCTTTGTCGGAGCCGCTTCAGGAATGTGTTACCGGCTGTATTCATCATGGCTGGTGGTCTTCTCGTTAGTACATTTGATGAAGGCAGGCAATCGACATACATCTGCCCTATCATCTCCGGGCTACATCCACGGTTTCGGGTGTATAGGTTTCTCAGCGTTATGCTAGATACCCTGATTGTAATCGGTGCTGCTGAATTTTGCCAGGAAGGTAACCGATCTCGGGATGGAAGGAAAAAGCAAGCGTTGGTTTCTTGGGGCTACGGCTTTCTTGTAAGTCTGCCTACTTGTGATCAATGGTGCATAAGTGAGATGATCTAACTGTCCACACTTCATAGGGGGTTGCTGTGATTTGTACAATCGCGGCGCTCGTTCTCAAAAAGGCGGCACCTGGGGATGGCGGCTTCGTCAACTCCCACTATTTACGAAGCGCAGCAGGTCAAGGCCTTTTAGTTGCTTTTACAGTATTGTCCGCATTTCAACTAGTAAGCGTCATATATTAGTTCGGATAAACCTTTCTCTAACTGGCTCCAGATGCCATTTTATGGTGCGGTTGGGATCTCTATATTGGCGGGCTCGTTATTCGTTAATTTTACGCTGGCCTCGGTCTTGTTTAACGGGCAGGAGCCTTTCCCACTGATCCTCCCCTCTCGTGCTTTTGCTGCACTACTTCTTACCTTCCTGGGTGTTATGCTATATCTCTGTGGCCAATCGGCCTCTGAAGAAGAACCGCAGTTCCTTTACGGATTCAACGTATTCATGCGAATATTCTTCTCAGTCATATTTGGCCTTGTGTTAATTCTGATCGCTCACCAACCCAGTGTAGCCAATGTACACCCAATCGACCTGCTTATTTATGAGGGTAGACAACATCATGATCGCTGGAAATCCAGCGCCAGTGGCAGCAAGAATCTGGCAGGAGCTGTTGCCCAGTATCGAGCGAAATACAATCAACATCCACCACCGTAAGTCAATCCAGATGACTCACCAGATGCTATACTGACTCTCGAGATAGGGGCTTCGACAAATGGTACGAGTATGCCACTAGTAGGTCGTCTGTCGTCATTGATGAGTTTGATCAGATATACGACAATCTACTGCCGTTTCGTGCCTTGCCGCCGGAAAAGATCAGGGAACTGACTCACCAACTCGCTACAAACCCATACAACGATATTGGTGCTATCAGTATACGTAATGGGACAGCAAGAGTTCAACAGGGTATCAAACCAACACATGCCTGGATGGTTATCAGTGCTGCTAAGATGATTGAGAAATTCTCTGAACACCTACCCGACATGGACTTAGCCTTCAATCTTAACGACGAGCCACGAGTTTCTGTGCCCTGGGAGAAGATGTCTGTTTTTAGGGCTCAAGCCAGATCTCAAGCACCTCCTCCTAGCGAGGGTTTAACGAATGGGTGGTCGGGTGACCGGGATGAAGGATGGGCGCCCATTGAGCCGGCAGATCAGACGACAGAGACCATGTTTACCGACAGCTCCTTTGTAAATATATTCGATCGCTATGTAAGTGCTCTTTGTCCTCACTCGTCAAAGGCTCGATCTCGACGAATGTGGGATCGACACCACATATGCATGGGCTGTATTCGTCCCCACTCCATGGGACAATTTCCGTCAAACTGGACGGTGGCAACTGATATATGCCACCAACCTGACCTTGCATCCTTTCACGGATTTTTCGTGTCACCTGCATCATTCAAGGTGACCCAAGATCTTGCTCCGGTTTTTAGCCAGAGTACGATTTCTGGATTTGGCGACATCATTTTCCCTAGTCCGTGGAACTACGTGGATAAGATAAAATACGAGCCTTCTGAAGAGTACCCGGATCTGGACTATGTGGAAAAAGAAAACCGCCTTTTTTGGATTGGCGGCACGTCGGAAGGCGTGAGCCGCGACGGTCAATGGCAAGGAATGCCGCGTCAACGTCTGGCACATCTAGTTAACAACAATACCTACAACAAGGTGTCAGTGCTGCTACCTGCAGACAACCCTGATACATATTCATATCAGATTCTTGACGGCTTGGCTCCTACAGAGAAGCTCGGCTTGAATGCTTCTGTCCACGTTACCGATCCGATCGTGCGCTGTAGAAAGGACTGTGAAGACCAAAAGCAGGAACTAGGCACAGCAGGTCGGGTCGACTTTCAGAGTCACTGGAATTACCGCTTTCTATTTGATGCAGATGGTGCTGGATTTAGCGGCCGATTCCTTCCCTTCCTGCAAAGTCACAGCCTACCATTCAAAACCGGCCTATTTCGACAGTGGTTCGACTCCCGGGTCACAGCTTGGCTGCACTTTGTCCCCATTGATGTCCGTCTCCACGGCCTGTGGAGTACCTTGGCATACTTCGGTGGCGTGGACATACCTGTTGGTGTGGATGATAATGGTCAACCCAAAGCCATGATGGAGCCACACAATCTTCAGGGGCGCTGGATCGCAGAAGAAGGTCGCAAATGGGCCGAAAGAGCTCTACGAAAAGAAGACATGGAGATCTATTTCTTTCGGTTGCTTCTCGAATGGGGCCGGCTGACTGATGATCAGAGAGATATTCTTGGATATACGGAGTGATGTCCCCGTACACTGCACGATTGGACACCGCAGTAAGCGGACAACATATCGACTGTTATTGCCTCCTTGGTATAATTACAGGCGCACAGGGTGCATATTTACAACGCAATGTATATATTCCGTTCGATATACCTCGCTCTTTGACATAGTTTACCTGATTGTCTAGTATTTTCTGGGGTTAAATGCATAAAGAATGTCGCCATTTACAGCTATCAGATCCCTATGTACATCCATGAACGAAAGTAAAAGTCTGTCCATACAAAATGCAGGGTATATCAAATCCCACCTGGGATGTACACCATCCTCAAACCTACAAGATCAGTTCCCCCAATTCTCCCTCCGCTGTCTGATAAACGAACGTTTTCCGACACCTACATCCATCTTCCACTCAGTCACATTGCTTGCAACGCTCGCAGCCCCGCCCTGATAAACCTTCAGCGAGTTAATACGCCAGAATGCATCCTTAAACGCAGCAGGGTTATTAGCCACCCAATCATTGCAAGATCCCTTTGAGGCACAACTACTCGACCCCCAAACACCGCCAGCCCAGTCCCCACAAAAAGTCGTATCGAAGATCTACGCACCGGTCAGTAAGTATCCCACCGAAAACTTAGACCTCCTTGAGAAAAATAACAAGAAAAGGAAGGATGGGAAACACATACAATCTGCAGATCTTTAAAATGCGAATCAATATTGCAAGCTCCGGCAAACCTCGCCGATGGCGTCCCCCAACCACTCGGATTCAGATTCCCACTACCGATATCACCGGGGATGCTGGAACGTGGGAAATACCAAACACTGATAGCTTCGCTAGTCCATTCAGTGGCATACACACCGCCGCCGGCATTGTTAAACCCGTTCCCGTAGGAGTGGGCCGAGTTATCTTTAATACCGCAGCCTGCGTTGTTGGCTTGGCCGGGGGCATTGACGTAGCAGTTACTTGTGAGAAGGGAGCCGGAAAAGCCTGAGTTGTTAATTGTGCAACTGTCGCTAGTGTGGAGGGCTACCTGGTTGTTAGTTTGGTCATTTACGCCTTCTATGACGTCTATTTCGCCGTTATTCGGCCAGTTGGGGCCTAGGAGCCAGCTGTGATATTATCAGTCTTGTTTCCCTTTTGAGTTGGGATAGATAGGGGCATTGGGGGAGACGTTACTATGCTGGCCAGGCTCCGCAGATACTGCCGGGCATGTGGGCTAGATCTAGAATGAAAAGGCCGTGGTTGTAGGCTTTGTTGCTGCTGATACGGACGCTTTGGCGGCCGCCTGGTGCGGCGTTTGTGTAATCGACACCCATGTAGACGGATCCGTCAGCTTTGATTAGGCCTGTGTTCTGGGACGTGCCTCTGTCAACGTATTTGACGAAGCCATGGGTCGGATCACTGCCTGTGAAGAAGCTAAATTTATCGAAGAAAGTTGAGTCCGTGCCGTAGTCATCTTGTAGTGTGTATGCGGCCACAGCAAGGGGGGCCCAGAGGCTTAGAGCTTGGGCGAGCGTGGATAGTATGTGCATTTCTGAGCGTGAATGATCACGGTAGAAAGGAATGTGCAGGGTATATGTGGAGCTGTGTGAAGGGGTAGTAAGGAGTGATAGTATTTATATAGGGAGTGTTCGAACAATGTGCTTTGCCTTAAAAGGTGTATTGTTCAAGCAGCACAAAGGAAGGACAGCGTCAAAGCCACTCTCTAAGTGAACAAACGCTGGATGAATAAAGGAGTGTTACAGATTGGCTTTCTTTTCGTTGGTTCTTGATTTCCCCCTGGTGTCGGAGGTTCAATATATAGCCATGAAGAATGTATGTATTTTATACCCTTATCACATACACATATAACCACTCTACACAGGGACAAAAACGAAACTTAGTACTCACATACTAGTGAAAAGTGGCGTCAGCCATGATATGCCCACCGGACCAGACCTTGAGACCTAGGAGGAAGCCATTGAAGAGACATCTTCTCGAGTAGCGCGGGCACCGAGAATGGCAGATGGAGGAAGCATGTGAGCGGCAAATTGGAGTCACGGCCAGCGTGGACTGGAATAGGATGGTTTAAAGGGGTGTTCCTGGATCACAGACGGTTCCAAAATGGTACCATCAGGCGTGGATATTTCAAACTGGTTGGAGGGACACAAGGTTCATGGAACGGAGGGCGTGTTTGGAGAAGGGGAGGAAAAAAACAAACCCCCCCCTCATGTCGTCGTGGGCCGTTCCACAAGAGTCGATTTCATAGATCGATGAACAGGGCGACACGCCGCGCACGGAGTATGTCAGGGTCTTTTTTTCTTTTTCTTTAATTTCCGATGATGGTCAGCTTCGCACCATGGGTTAGTGTGACAGGCACCTGGGTCAATCAGAGCGCAAGGATCGAGGGTTCTCGTAACAGTCAAGATGATAATGAGGGGGGAAAATTGAAGGGGAAACGTCCATCGAGAAGGAGGCCATGTGATGCCAACTGTTCCTTTTCAGGGGAGTTTTATTGGCATTTCTCGTCCCATCTTGTGATACGTCGCTTTGAAACCAGCTGATCGGGAGCAAATTAGTTGGAAACCAAATCTTTCCAATTTGGCCATCGTCATGAAATTTCCAAAAGACTCCGTTTAGGGTTGGACTTCTTTGACTTAATTAAGCAACTCGATTAACCGCCGCCAAAAAGTTTAACCTCCAAACTTGTCTCACTTTAAATCCTTCAAAATTATCAATCATTGGCTCTATCAACTACCACAGCCTCATGTTGCTACCCAACATGGTGAGAAAAGGGAAGAAAAGAAATTCTCATGAAATCACATAGTGGGGATTAAGCAAAGGTACATACAAGGGCTTGATTGAAATCGTGACACTCATTCATTATGTACAGGACAGATAGGGCATGACAACAACTCCCAGTCAGACCCTTCGCGTCGGAAATGCGATTGATTGGTATGCCCAGAATGGCCCGAGTTCAGCAAACACTGTCGGTGATACAAGTGTCGACAAGAAAAGACGACCGCGGGCCCGATCGGCATCTCATTGCCATTTTCTGGAGATTCCCGCATACCATCTACTGACTCCACGTCCGCATGTCCGTCATGGAAGTGTACCACCTGACCCGCCTCGGCCACTGCCGCCGCCTTGCCCTTCCCACGGGCGACCGCAGGGTCAAGTCGCCCTTCAATTTGTCGTGACACTCGGCGTTGATGTGCATCCGCCTGCCTCTGCTTCCAGGCCTCCCAGAATTCAGAGCCAACCCCAGGTCCCCAAATGCGCTGCCGACAGACCTCACACACCTGGCCTCGCGGTCGCCATCCCCTTTGACGCAGTCGCGTTACTTCGTCCACATGCACAAAGAGGTCCCGGTCCAGCATCCCGTTGGCCAGGGCCAGGAGTGACTTCTCATAAGTATAAGCCGAGAAGATGGAAGCCAGGACTGCACGGAGTTCAAGGAGCGAAGGAGACCAATGGGACGCACGAGTGAGGAATGCTCGCAGAATTCGGAGAAAAGCAACGTCGTTGCGTTCGGTCAAGGCTCCGCTGACCCGGACAGTGCTGGAGAGCAGCGCCGTGAACACCTGTTGTACCAATGTACGGACAGATGACATTAGTTGAGCCGCGTTGCTCCCCATCCTCGAAGTCATTGGTGCCAGTTGGGTCAGTTTACTTTCCGCGTGCTCCTTCTGGATCAGGGCAAACACACTACTGGCAGTGCGGACGACAGCTTCAATAAGGTCGAGCCAGAGGTTCTCATCGAACGAGAGAGGCTGGTCAACAGCATGTTTCGCAGTCCCATTCCTCTCGACAGTTCGCGGCTTCTTAGCTGTTTTCGTCTGGCCCTGGCACAACCATGTACCAACACGTACAAACTTGTTCAAAGATTCAACAAGATCATCAATCGCTTCTGCCGTGCTGGCGGAGTCTGGGGTCTCCTGTATACTTCGGAGAATACCAACGAGACCCGACTCTAGTGTCTTAAGATGCGCAGTAAGACGGTCCATTGCAGCTCTGATCTGGCCCTGTCTGGCCAGCAGAATGACAGCTGCATCCACTACCCCACTTTCCTCCATCGAAGGGAGCAGCTCCTCGAGCCGAACGTCGCCAGCTCGCAGCTCATCAACGAAATCAGCGACATGCGAAGGGTTGTACTTGCAAAGCAATTGCACGTAGCGCTCTACCATCCAATTCTCTACTGACTTCGAAAGCCGTCGCTCAGCGCCGGAATGCGTCGTCGGGTCAACCACGACAGTCAAGTACTGGTACTGCTCGTAGGCATCATTTTCCAGTGCTTCGAGGAACATTGCATGCGTTTCAGGAGCATAATCCTGCATGGTCTGAGCGGCCTTCTGGACATCTATCCCTGCTATCTGGCCAGCGTGGGTTTTAATCAATTCTATGACATCTCGCCTTTGCCTTTTCCCTAACCCGGAGCCGGCCCGCAGGCAATCTTGTAGGCAGGTAAAAAGCGCCTCTTGTCCACTGCGGTCTTCCAGATAGGTCAGGATTAATTCAGGAAATTGCTTCTCGGAGCGATAGGTTGACTTGAGAATCCGGAAGAAACGCGCTTCGTGAAAGAGCGGGATCATGCTCTGAATATCTGGAGGATGATAGAAAGATAGGAGGTATTCCGCGCTGAGTTCGCAGTCCTCTGCCATATCTTGGTTTGGGTATCGGCACAACCGCTCCAAAACCTGGTGGAGTGTACTTCCAGAGAGTAGAATGTATTGAGGGTATTTAGGAAGGTTGCGAGCAAGGAACATGTCTAGGTAAATGGTATCAGATGGAGTAAAGACTGCCGGTGTCATCACCTGAAGCAGAATGCTGATTAAGTATTGGCGATTGATGGATATCCCTCTGAAAGGTGTCTCGTCTGGCTCTTGTTCGTTCAAAAAACTATCCTCGAATGCTTCATTGAGCATGCTCATGAAGCTGGGGGTATCGAATTTGAGGATAGCTTGCAAATCTGAGAACAACCCATTCGGTTGGGTATGGCCACCCGATTCTGCCCCAGACAGGTTCCCAGAGAACAGATATTCGTATAAGGCTGCCTTCGCCTGAGTAGCTTCGGCGTCATCCAGGTCATTCCCAGTAGGGTATACACGGCCCGTTAAGACAAAGGAGAGATATGGAAACATCTTCATCGCGTTTGTATATCGTTTAAGTTCATCCACCGAGCCCCCGTTAACCCAAGTTCCTTGGGGTGGGACTAATGCTAAGAGTTCTTGCAGTGGCCCCACATAATCTCCTACGCAGCGATTCCAGACGTAAATGAAGGCGTCGTACAAGTTATAATGTTTACACAGTGTCGTCACTTGGTCAATATCCATGGTGGCCGTGTCAAGTAGACAGATGATCTCTTCCAATCGGCTGGCAGTATGGTTCGTGGCAAAGTGATTGATAAGCGCTTTAACGGCAGTAGGGGGGAGAGTGCGCACTGTTCCTTCGACTATGTATGATTCAAGGGCATCGAGGAAAACGCCTTGCGAGTCATGCTCCTCATACCAGTTGAATACCTCGTCCCAGATAAACTCCTCATCATCCATGGAGACACAAGCCGAGATGGAGACCTCGGCCAATTCCTCAAGCTGTTGATTTCCTAGCCGCTCCGTATTAGCTTCCTGGTTCCGACCAAACGCATACTTCAGCGAGGCTGACACCATTTCCAGAAGCTTCTCTTGCACGATAGGCTGTCTCAGTGCATCTTCATCAGGCAATCCAATGGTGAGCTTTTCTCCGCTGCCTTTGTAGAAGGACGTTGCTAGGCGAATGGCCCCAATGAAGTCACCAGCCTCCATGAGTGCAAGTAATCGGTCTGCCCAATTAGAGAGGGCTCCAACAAGTGCATCGCTATAGCCCAACAAGAATAGACGCCCTTTATAAGAGCGAAAGCTCATATAAAAAGCATCGGCTACCACGCCATGCATCGAGGTATCTTCTTCGTTGAACTGTTCGACCAGAGAATGAAGCTGGGAGGAGAACAAATCGGCATGGTATATATGTTTGTTAAGAAGATCAATGCTATCCGTTACACGCATAGAATGATCTTCAAGAATAAGTAATTGTTGCGTTATAGTCAGCACTGCCAGGACCGAGCGACTCAGCCATTGCACAGCAACAATCGCTTCTTCAGCCTTCCATCTGTTCCGCGCTTTAAACTCCAGGCTGGGTGGTTTGTCCCTGCTCGGTGATTCCTCTGCTTCAATCTCAGACACGTCTAGGATAGTCAATACATTTGACCAACAATAAACAAGTTTTGTTTTCGAAGTTTGCGCATCATTGCCCTTGAGCTTAATCGCTGGAAACCAGGCCAAGGCTCCAGTCATCGCGCCATGGGCGGCAACCTCTTTTGGGCGTGGCGCCTTATGTTGGGTCTGTGCTACAGGTGTGGTCGAGACAATAACTAGAAGATACGGTGTAAGCATCGCAACCAAGCCCAAAGAATCGGTTGGCTGCTCGACGTTTCCGAGAGGGAGAGGTGAAAATGCAAGGACAGAGCTTGGCTTCCGCGGCCGGTTGCCGTGCGCTATATGTTGAGGATAACGGCCTAAGATCCTTGTCGTCTTCACTGTCCGTCCCATCGCCCCCAGGCCTCGTGTCGCCAGATGTGAGAAAGCCATCCCTGAATTGTCGGCGGATACGAGCGCAGTGCGCCTTGTACCAAGGAAGCCTACATGAATGACAGACGACCTGGGAACGTGGCCATCGGCAGTGTGAGTATCAACCTGGCTTTCGGGGAGAGGTGGTATTTGAAGAAAAGGCCGCGCCGGTCTCACAATCTCCCATGTAAATATATCGCCCGAAACATGGCCCCCGGCAATCGTCGTGTGGTCCGCGGATAGTGCCAACGACGTGATTGCTCCACATTCGGTAGCTATATAAAGAAGTTAACAGAGATCAGAAAAATACGGCGCGGCAGGCTTCCAACGTACCCTTAGTCCCTTGTCCAATGATCGCTTTGAGACTTTGCTGGTAGTCAAACACCAGGATGATTCCCTTGGACGTTCCAATCACTATGGCAGTGGAGACCGCCAAACATGTGGGATAACCGAAATTACGTTTGCCGACCTCCGAAAATGCCTGGCCAGTAATCTTTCTTAGCTTAGTCCACCGCACAACATCCCAAGGACCTAGGGGCGTCTCAGCATCGGAATCCACGGTACCCGGAGTGAGGCGGCTCGTAAGCGACGACTTTCGGGAGTGAATGTGAGCGAAGAACGGCGAGGACGGTCGAGCCCCGCTCAAAGATGGAGACGAAAGGCGGGACTGAAATCGGAGATCAAAGGGACGATGCGACGGACTTGGACTGGCACGAGATGAGCCTCGAAGGGCCAAAGCATTGCTACTTTGCGACGACAAAAGAGAATCCTATAGCGATCAGCGGAGTGCACAGCTGAAAATAATAGTCACAACACACATGCAGAGAAGGAGTATCGTCTGGTGTGGAAGCTGTCTCATCGACACTTCTGGGAGTACCAAGTTGTCCGATACGGGGCGACAATGGTACATTGCCCGTACCGGCGTCAAGTTGGGAGTTCCTTGTATCCAACAAATGGTTTGGACTGGTTACATCGGGGAGATCCTCTTCAACGTATGCCATTGAGCTCTCCCCATACCCTTCGGGTGACACCCCATCGACAGAGACGCCGTTACTCTTTGGCTGAACATCTCCATCGTCCTCTTCCCCCAAGTCGAGCTCATCCTCTCGTGCCCGGTCATCACTGCCCTCAATCATGGAGCTCATCAGCAAAATGTTCGAATGACCATCGCTTCGACACTATCGCAGGGGAAAACGGTCACGGAATCAAGGTTAAGAGCGGCGCCGATACGTTCTGGTCGATGACTGTCTTGACACCCTCAGGCCACAAAGCTTCAGTGGGCGACTGGCCGAGTGCGGGCCGATAGATGGATACCTTAGGTGCGGAAAACAAAATGGAGGAGCGGTTGCCGACAATCCGACTGGTTGGTAGGAAATTATTCCCGATGGACGACCGAGTCAGGATCTGGATGCAACTAACTGGCAAGGTGTTGTGTAAACCGAGCAAGAGTACCCACGAGCTCGGCTTTGTCGCAAGTCGGGGAAGATGAAGATCATCGACGGAAGGTAATGAGGAGAGCTGGAGGCTGTGAGTCCCTTCCGGCCTCAGGTCAACATTGGTTGGTTTTGCTTGGCTTCCGGGGGAGGCGGTGCCCCACAAGCCACTCGTGGCTATCAAGTAGTTGTACATACATAACGACAACAACAAGTCATCCTTTCCTGCTTGTCAGTCATAATAATGTCATTGTTGACGCATTCTATAGAGACGCTAGAGATTTGTTCCAAGCGAGTGTCTTCTTACCCTCGCGCAATTCTCAAGCTCCTATAGGATATCCAGCCCCTCTTCATCTTCCGCAGTCTGGGCATCCAGGTCACATCTAAGTCATCAGTCAAAATGTTATGAGCGGTGACGGCAAAGTAGTGTGTTGTCAGAGAGCAAATATAAACAGCTTGCAGAACAACAATAACACTAAGGACGGTATCCCGACGGTCCACCACAATGTTTTAAGTGTAAAACTATAAATTCAAATTATAGATGGGGCTCCTGGCTAGTCTTACAGACAATACATACCACTCATTCAATGCTAAGAGGTTATCGCATTCGCTGATATGCATTTATCAATCGAGCTTCTGACCTACATTGATGGGCTTCTTTCCAGGTGACTACATTTATTAGTATGAGTGGTATTACCATGATCTAGTCATATTTTACACGCCATCCAGGGGATCCTCAGCAGTTTGCTCGGGGGTGTGTTACCAATGTTAGCATGTGACAAGCGTGCCTGAAGGTGCCTTAGTCCAACTACTATTCAAATCACCTGCAGACCCCCGGGTTACATCGACTGGACAAGGTCAACTCTTTCATCTCATATCCTTGTCTCGTCTTCGGCGTAGTGCTCCCCTGTCCCGCTCTTGTAGTGGCACTAATCCTTCTGAAGAGTTAATTAAACTTTGTCTATACTGTTCCCATCCCATCTCTCTATAGCGCTTCTCACAAGGCAAGTCACAAGGCATTGATTGGCCACATGCTATACATTTATTCTTCAGCACTGCATGATTTGATCATTTGGTAGCATTCAGCCCTCATCCTAGTGCAGACGAAAATTGAGGAATATAAATTATCAGAATTTCTTTACTAAAATACACTGAAAGGAGGGATGATAATATTCTTGCAGTCTAACACCAAGACATGATACCCTCACAATACTAGTAGCCCTTCATATATAATATAAAGATGCCTTCCAACAAACATCCCATCCTGTCCTATATACTACTTCCTCTCGTCCTCACCCTCTCCACCCTTCCAGTCGTCCAATGCGCCCCATCAACCTGCAATGGCCAATCCACATTCTGCACCCGCAAGTACTCCAACATCACCCAACTGGGCGCCCACGACAGCCCCTTCGTCGGCCCCCTCCTACAGCATAATCAAAACCTAGAGGTAACAGAACAACTTGACCTGGGGATCCGCTTCCTGCAGGGTCAAACCCATAAAGCCCTTGACAACGCCAACACCATCCAACTATGTCATACATCCTGTCTTCTCGAGGACGCGGGAACCCTGGAGTCCTTCCTGGGCACGGTCAAGACCTGGCTGGACAGCCATCCAGATGAAGTGGTAACCCTGCTGCTTACGAATGGCGATGGCTTCCCCGTGACGCGGTTCAATGAGGTATTCGCCAGTGCCGGGATTAAGGATTATGCATTTGTACCCAGCTCGTCGCCGGATGTGCTAGCCATGGATTCGTGGCCGACGTTGGGGGATCTAATTAGTACGGGGAAGCGACTTGTGGTATTTTTGGGTAAGTACACGTGCTTTTCCATTTATTTATTTTTTTTCTTTCGAATACGAATTAGGTAGTATCTGGGAGTGGATGACTTGGGTGGTACCTATATACGTAGTGGATATAAAATCTCCACTATGTGTCTGAGACTTTTTCCTTTGGCCTTGTTCCGATAGGGTGTGTATATTGAGCATGCTGCTTTTAGATTACGGCGCCGACACTAAATCCGTTCCATATATATTGGACGAATTCGGTTACTTTTTCGAGACGCCCTACGATGTGACGGATGCCTCGTTCCCGAATTGCAGTATCGATCGGCCCTCAGGCGCATCGGCCGATGGGCGCATGTATATCGTCAATCATTTCCTAGATGTCAATGTGCTGGGGATCCTGGTGCCCGACCGGATCCGTGCGCCCAAGACCAATGCTGTCTCGGGCAATGGGAGCATCGGGGCACAGTCCGACTTGTGTCGGTCCATGTATAAACGGCTGCCTAACGTGGTCCTTGTGGATTTTGTAGATCAGGGTGAGGTTATGAAAGCTCAAAATACGCTAAACGGGGTTTAGATTAGTTGTATTTAATTCTCTTGGGATCAATGCGTTACTACTATTACTACTGTAGTCATGTATCATGTTCATTGGCTAGAAGACATTTGCTTTCTATAAGTTCAAGTCTTCTTAATCATCATCATCACCATAGTAAATTAGCTATACACCCCAATGCCTCGGCTTCCTATGGATATACACAGCATAGCCTGTATATATATACATGTTAGGTATCCCTTCCACTATGCCATAGAATAGCTGAGAAAGAGTGACATTATTTCTCCGTAAAAGTTCCAGGATTTTGTCAATACTAAAACTCTCATATGCGTGAGTATACTACGCCTTACTCATCCAATTCGACTTGCGTTTCACGTTCTGTGAAATTGTTAGAATTATAGACACTGAACGCTGCGAAATATTATACGTACCCCAAATCTTATTTGCTGATGCAACAATTACTTCTGCTTTAGCAAGCAGCTTTTTGGCATACCGTTCCGCTTCTGAGGGGTGGGCTTGGCTTCTCTGTGCTTTTCGTGGATTTACCTGGTGCAAGTTAGTAAATGTTCTGCTTCAGGGCGACGTTCATTTTACCATCATTAATATGGGGACAAGATCCTTTGCATCGGCCTCTGCCAACGCCCTCAAGTTTCGGAAGCCGTTGTCTCGAAGCATCCTGGCTGTCCAGCCTTTGACATAAGTGACTTGAGCCATTTCCAATAAATCAGCGCGAGCACCGGCTTCCAAGCGATCCCGCATATGATCAAGGACTGCCGCAAGCATTCCCCAGCCCATGCGTTGGCAGAACTTGACCATACCAGCGGCAAACCCGTGGCACTGTTGGGCCAATGTCTGGACTGCCCCGCGAGGGGTCCGGTAGCGACTGGCGATCACCGATAGAGGAACCTCATTGCTCAAATCACGAAGCTGAAGCGCGGTGTAAGCACGACGGTAGACGGCGGCCAGTTTGATCTGCTCTGGAGTGTCTTCTTTAAGAGATGCACCGCTTTGAACCCTGTGGCCTCATTAGTACGCTCTTGCGTCATGTTGAGATCAACATACATTCTGTTCACAAAGCCCGGTTGAACACCAATAAATTGCAAAGCACGCAGCCCGCTTTCGTCAAGATTGTCTAGCTGGTCTCGAAAGATGGGCCAATCGACTTGTGTGGTCGTCGCTACCTGGAGAGGGGTGAACATGTAGAAAACATGCATGTCACCATCCATCACAAAAGCCTGTAATGCTCTGTTTAGCTCATCGTAAACAAAAAGACCATCCTCGGGGGTGAATGCAGACGCAACGACAGCTTGGCCAAGTTGTGTTGCAACATATGATTCGTCGTCGTTCTGATGCAGAAGATCTTCGCTGACCAATTCTTGGAGAGCAGAGTCCATAATGTTGTACGCTATCTTTTTGTCCATGGTCCGGTAAAGAAGGGTACATTTCACGTATTCCTTGATCGCTTCAATACCAGAGACGAGACCTGTAGCTATAGCTTCCAAAATCGCCCTAGACAGGTATGAGCCCATGACTGGTTATCGTTCGTTTTGGTCATCTACCTTTTGAGACCACGCTTCTCTGGTGCTAGACAGCTCTCGATTGCTGGCATATCAGCTTCCAGCAGATCACAGACTGCCTGTAGTTCGGACTTTCCACAAATGAGGTAGGTCTCGCCTGCCTCATCCTTTCCCTTGCGACCAGCTCGCCCACACATTTGACGCCTTCGACGGTTAGCTCGAGATTTTTGGAAATATGCAAGGGGATGTCCCTACAGCATTGCCGGTCCCACCAACTCACGTCCCATACGAGCACCATTGATAATGACTCTCCTGGCAGGAAGATTGACTCCGGCCGCAAGACTGCAAGTGGCTACGAGAATTTTCAAAACACCTTGATCGTAAGCCTGCGCTATGAAGTCACGTTCTTCTGTTGTCATGCCCGCATCTAGAGCAAAGTCAGTTCATATCAATGAGAGGCGGTAGCTTACACGGATCACTCACGGTGGAAGCCCACGCCTCTGACCAGCGTATTCTCGAGGACCGGGTCAAGACCACTAGGAAGGCTTCGTAGTTCAGCGAGCAGGTCCAATCGTCTGCTTAGTTCCTCTGGATCTACTGCGGCTGGTATTGGCATGGCCTCGCTGATAATAGAGGCATGGAGTTGGCAAGCCTGTCTGCTACCGCAGAAAACCAATGCACCATATCCTGCTGCAGCCGTATCGATCGATAAAGCTACCATCGCATTTGTGGTTGGATTTGCAAGTTCTCGAGACACCGGGAGCTGGATTATACGATGGGGAGGCATAGTGTCCGTAAGGGATACGGTGGACATTGATGCCAATCTTGTGATCGTCTGGAATAGCTGTCTTGAGGTTGCTGCGGGATAAATCGCGTTCTCATATACGAGATAGTCATCAATCGGAATAGGCCGATATGTTGAGATATAGTAGTTTGCGTCCATCCAGTCTGCAAGTAATTCAGTGTTCTGGTAGTTTGTCAGCCTGCTTTCTTAGTGTCGGCATTGGTGACAAAGAATAGCCATACCGACAGAGTGGCACTCATGCCAATTATCTGGATATCTTGCTGCAGTAGAAGTACCTTGGTGACCATCAGCTCCAAAAGATACCCGCGATGTTCATCATCAAGCATATGTAGCTCGTCCAGGACAACTACGCCCAGATCTCCGATATTGCATTCCTCGATAGCAGTGTTGATCAGTGAGTTGGCCTAATATATGCTCGTTAGACTTTGCCCTGCATACAACTGCATGCAACGCTGACAGACCTTCTCTATCGTGCAAACCGCAATATCCGTATCAGCCCAGGTAGCGGTTGTCCTGCTACCTCCGAAAAAACCAGTGACGCGGATCGACTTTTGTAGCTTCTTCCATCGTTGATGATATGGCTTCGCGCCAGCTGCTTGATCGTCGATGTTATCAATACGTTTTTCAACATCCTGAACAATGCGTCTTAGCCATTTCAGCTTTTCCTGTACTAGTGCGACGTACGGAAGAACCAAAATAGCTTT